TAGACTTTTCTTTGTGAGATAAGATAAAAGCTCATCAAATTTCAGTTTAAAGACTCTTGAAATGATGTCAGGACGATCTGATGCTTTTAGATGAACAGAACCAAGCAAATGCTGAATTTCAGGCCAATTGGGGTTACATGTGAATGTAATGAAAAGATCTGGAAATCCGACATAGCTGTATATTGCCATTCCGTCAAAGTATAGTTGATCCATATATCTACGACTACCAACATATGAAGAAGGTAACACAACCCTCTTACCTGTGTTTGACCCGTGCGTTTCTCCATTTGAATTATATTCATTCAAATTGTGATACTTGCCAACCCTCAATTTTGACTGATTCTTTCGAAGCCACCTAAGTCTTTCTGATTCCATCATTGTAAAACCATCTACCAAAAATTGTTGATAAAGTCTCCTTGATCGTAACAATGTGTGCTTCATTAGATCTTGATTGAATTCTAAAGGCCAACCACTCTCTTATTGTAAGTCGATTTCGCTTTGTTGCTTCTTCCCAAGGAATATCTTTATTGTTTTGTTCTGAATGTGTTATGTCTGTGAAGTGGCGAATATTTGTCCCTTTATCACGGTGCCTCACTTTAGGTCTATATCCATCCTCACCATATGGAAATAATAATGGGTACTTATATCCTAAATAACTGGTATGATACTCATCTATCCTTTGAAGTTCGCCACATTGTTTTTGCACTATAATGTCTCTTTTTTCTGCAGTGTCGACATCTCCAACAATTAAAGCAGCTACTTCGGATACAGTTGGTTGATTATATATCCTTCCATCATTTCTTCGTTCAGATATTAAACGAAGTTTTAAATCAGAAACACCTTCTTCACAAAGTCTGTCCTTTGCCATGCGAAATGATTGTGCATGAACATTATGTTCATATAACATTTCAGATAGTTTTCTCACAATATTAACATCAACTCCACTTTTTGACCTATAATGAAAAGAGTTGAAACAGTTTATTGCAAGTTTCTTAAATAAATAAATTTAAAGTTTGGAAAATAATAGATATCTAACCTGAATCCATGCATTCTGTTTTCAATTTCATTCTCAGTGTCATAAACATATAGTTGTGCAAATCGTGGATTTTGACCTGGCATCGGTAACATGCTTCCTATTCGGTGACATGATTGACCTTGGATACGAAAATTGGGAGGGCATCTACCGTTGTTAAATCGATTGTCCACTTTCGCACCGGGAGATGTAAATGCAAACATAACGTTGTACATTCGAATTTGTTGTTGGAAATTTTTTGATTCACATGATTCGTTGTCAAACAACAGATGTTGTAGAACTTTAGGAGCGGGTTTTAACAAAGGTAACTGAACTTTTCCTGATCCACAACACATGGAAAATTTAGGATTGGACGCATGACGACATTTGTTTTTCCTTTCCGAATACCACATATTTGCACCACAATATTGACATTCAATGACAGGATCCCCTATATCATAATACCCTCTTGATCATCAATAGTATTTAGTTCATATGTTAAATGAGTTGTATTTCATAGTAATAAAATATTATTTATAGTAAATCATTTTAAAATACCTGATGTAATTTCAAAAGTTTCCATAGCATCTGTTCCATTAGACATTTCATCTTCATCAAAACTTGAATTTGTTGCTGAACTGTAACCTTTTGACATAACATTTATTGTGTTAAGAATATTGTAATATTCTATGACATATCATAAACAAATTAACTCAAATGAAAAATAATTAAGAATATACCGTCAGATTCATCATTCATATTATCGTCTCCACTATCAGATGCAAAAAGCTCATTGAGTTGCAATTCTGGTATTGGATATTGGTTTGATGTTGTTGCAGCAAATGTATTGTCAAATCTCTTAGATAAGTTAACTCCTAATTTGGTAATGTTTCTGCTTGATATCCTTTTTGATCTGATATTATTATTGGTACTTGGCTTAGTATTTAAGGACGAATGAAGTTGACGACTTACTTCAACGTTGGCTATACCACGACCGTCATTTAGTATGTTTGGCGAAAGTTCTGATAGTGGTATCCTCGAAGTTGTTGAGTCATTGCCGCGTCTTTTATCAAATGTACTGTTTTCTTTTAGAGCAGTTTTCAACCTCTTAGATTTTTTGTCATCAATAACACTCTTTCTATAAATTCTAGCTTTTGCAACATTCTTCCTCCTCAAAATAGTTTTAAAATGTAATTCTTCATCTACCATTTTGAATATTTTCTATTATAGTACTCACTCAGGCTCTATAATTCAAAATGATCATACTTGATCATACATCTGAAAAAATTACACATATATAACAGATATTATATATCTTCATCATTATAAATAAAACAAAAAATATATAATTTTATAGTGAATAAAAATATCAAGTGTTCACATACCTGATAAAAAACATAACTTACATTGTCATGACTTTATTTGAATAAAGTTTTCTTATAGCTTTTACTCATTCAACATGATAAGTTCATTTTTTAAATTTGAAATAATACTTGAAATACTAATATATAATATATAAGGTACATGTTAAGAATGGATCATTTCCATCACACACACACACACACACACACATATATATATATATATATATATATATATATATATATATATATATATATATATATATATATATATATATATATATATATATATATATATATATATATATATATATATTTGATTAGCCGCATTATTGACATTTTGTATTTTCTTTTAACAAATTTTTTGTGTCATAAATTTGTTCTAATAATAATAATTAATATTTAATATATTGGTTTTATAGAGGGAAATGAAAAAAAAAATTGATATTATTACCCTGCATTTATTCACGTTGCCTTTTTCTTTGACCTAGATGAATGCATCGTTTTTCATGCTTTTTCTTTAATAACATCATTTAAATTTATGTACATTTTTATATTCCAATGAATCTGATTAATAATAATTTACATTAAAAAATCAGTCATTTAATACTGCCCAATGCATAGAGAAAGTAGAAAGTCACACATTAAATACTCAATTATTTTTAAAAAATAATTTTATTGGTTTTCTCCCTTTGTATAGTTGTTTTAAATATAATAAGATAAAAAAGAAAAAAAAAGCACTGTCAAGTTTTTAAAGATTATGTTTATTACATTTTAATATATTAAATATAAAATTTTCAATATTTTATTCAGATTATATAATACTGTGCGACCAGTACAAACACTATATTATTAATGTTTATATTGTAAATTAAAAATGTAGCAATAATAATGTTACATTATTAATACCAATATTATGAGTATAAAAAAATCAATATTAATAATAAATATTTATAACTATTAATTATTTAATTTAAGAATCTTTTGAAAACTCTCATTAATATCTTCACACACACACACAACTTGTTAAGTGCATTAAGACCACTCACTTAATAACTCGACTAACTTTCATTTTATTTAATTTAGTTTAAAATTTTCAATTAATATTTCTGAACGTGGTCGTGGATCATGCAAGTCCACATTTTATTTTTAAAATGAAAATTAAATTAGTTTATGGGAAAAAAAAGAATGAGTTGAAAGATTAGGGTTTGACTTCCAGTAGAAGTAATTATGAGAGTTGTAGTGGCATCTTGAACATCAACTAATTTGTGGTCTTCATTGGATCACACAACTCACATAACATCAATTAGTTGTTTATACAAACTCATTAAGAAAAGTTATTGCAATTGTTAAGTTTTTTTCTGGTCAACTAGTTCACTTGTAGAATTATAAGACATTGCATACAAATTACTTGCCTTAAATTCTACCTCAATCTTGTCTGTAAATCTTACCTCAATTGATTGAAATTAATATTAGTAGATTCATCGTCATTATTTTAAAATTTAAAGTATAATAGTTATGAGTTTATAATGGTTATAAATTATTTATTGAACATTTCATATATATATTTTGAAAATTGTATGAATAAAAAAATAATATTTTTGTTAAAATTTATTTATAAAACATTAAGTTAATACTAGTATCATCAAAAGCTCAAGAATAAAACGGAATAGAACAGAATAGATTTAGATTAAAATTTTGATCGGATCTAAAAATATAATATCAACAAAGCGAATATATCTGACTAGTTGGATCCGTTTTTTCACCTATATTTATAATCAAATGTCTATGTAATTATCAGAACATCTAAAATTGATTTTAGAACACATATATTTTTAGAAAGGAAACATTATGCACATTGTTAATTAAACGTGCAATTTTATCTACATGTTTGCAAAGTCTTTTGGTACATAAAATTGATTATCAGAATTCTTTTCCAAAGTCTTTCGATACACAAAAATTGACTACCAAAACTGTTTTGTAAAGTCTTCCGGTACACAAAATAAAAGTTAAAAAATATTTTAAAAAATTAAACCGAAACTCTTTTGCAAAGTCTTCCGGTACACAAAAAATGACTACCGAAACTCTTTTACAAAGTCTACCGATACATAAAAAAAGTTTTAAAATGACTACCGGAACTCTTTTGCAAAGTCTTCTGTTACATAAAAATTAACTACTGAAACTCTTTTACAAAATTTTCTGATAAAAAAAAATTAAAAAGTATTTAAAAAATGAGTATCAAAACTCTTTTGCAAAGGTAAAATAAATTTAAAAAATAAAATGATAAATTAATTAAAAATATAAAAAAAAATTGATATTTTTTATAAAAGATAGTGGTATAAAGAAAAAGGTAAATCTGCAAGGTAAAGTTTCCCTTGTAACCTCTAAAATAAAATACAAGGCTCAAAAGGTAAATGTAATATTTACTTGATATATGAATGTGATGTGACATGATAGATATAGCATTATGTTGGTTACAAATTAATTCCAATGAGAATTTAGAATTAATTTAATTAATTATTAGTTTGGAGCCTTTCGGGTGGGTTTGTGCAGCCCCAAACACCGTTCATCAATAGCCGCACCACCACCCATCGCCGCACGCAAATTGTGAAAGTTTCACACAACACATGAAGAGAAGAACATCCATCATCACCTATCTCCACCGTTTCCATCAATATCATTTTCCCTCTGCCACCACCGCCGCCACCTTCTCAACAACTCCCCGCCCTTTTCCCGACTACTCTCCACGAAACCCTTCCGTCACAGACACCGACCTCATCCGCCACGTCACTACAACCATCAAACAATGCCGTTTACAACCCTTCCGCCGCGTTCTTAAACCTTACGAATCACGCTTCAAACCAAGTCATCTTATTTGGGTTCTCATCAACATAAAAGACGATTACCAACTCGTCTTAAACCTCTTCAACTGGGTTAAATCCCGTTCACAACAACAACTTCACCCCACTTTGGAATCACTTTGCATTGTTGTTCATATAGCTGTTGCATCAAACAACATCCAAACTGCTAAACGACTTGTTTTTGAGTTCTGGGCTACGCCGCGGTTGGATGTTTCCAAGTCTTTTGATGTTTTTTCTGAGAGGTTGATATATACTTATAAAGATTGGGGCTCACACCCTCTTGTTTTTGATGTGTTCTTTCAAGTGTTGGTAGAAACTGGGTTTGTTTTACAAGCTGAGAAACTTTTCCATAAGTTGTTAGGATATGGTGTTATTGTGAGTGTAGATTCTTGTAATTTGTTTCTGTCTAGATTGTCTTGCAATTTTGAGGGGATTAAGATTGCAGTTAAGGTGTTTGAAGAATTTCCTGAATTGGGTGTTTGTTGGAATACTGTTTCGTATAACATTGTTCTTCATTGTCTCTGTCAATTGGGGAAGGTGAAAGAAGCACATAACCTGCTTGTACAAATGGAGCATAGAGGGAATTTTCCTGATGTTGTTAGTTATGGTGTTGTTACTAGTGGATATTGTAAAATTGGAGAGCTTGACAAGGTTTTGAAGCTTGTGGATGAGTTAAAGAGAAAGGGGTTGAAACCTAATGAATACATTTTCAATAACATAATTGTACTACTTTGTAAGAATGGTCAAGTGGTTGAAGCGGAGCAAGTAATGAGAGAGATGAGAAAATGTGGTGTTTTTCCTGATAATGTAGTGTATACGACTCTCATCAGCGGTTTCTGCAAGTCTGACAATTTTTCTGTTGCGTGCAAACTGTTTGATGAAATGAGACATAAGAAAATAGTTCCTGATTTAGTGACATATACTTCTGTGATTCATGGGATTTGTAAGACTGGAAAGATGGTTGAAGCTCGCAAAATGTTTAATGAAATGTTCGTGAAAGGGCTGGAGCCGGATGAAGTTACTTATACGGCACTTATGGATGGATATTGCAAGGCCGGTGAAATGAATGAGGCTTTCTCCATTCACAACCAGATGGTTCAGAAGGGTCTGACCCCTAATGTTGTCACTTATACTGCGTTGGTTGACGGCCTTTGTAAGAACGGAGAGATTGATGTAGCGAATGAGCTTCTTCATGAAATGTCTAGAAAGGGACTTCAACCGAATGTCTGCACCTATAACACGATCGTAAATGGTCTTTGTAAGATAGGAAATATAGCACAAGCAGTAAAACTTATGGAAGAAATGGATCTGGCAGGGTTTTATCCCGACACAATTACATACACTACACTCATAGATGCATATTGTAAGATGGGGGAAATGGCCAAGGCACACGAGTTGCTGCGAGTTATGCTCGATAAAGGACTTCATCCTACAATTGTTACATTCAATGTGTTAATGAATGGGTTTTGCATGTCAGGGATGTTGGAAGAAGGTGAAAGGTTAATAAAATGGATGTTAGAGAAGGGTATAATGCCAAATGCTACAACATTCAATTCTCTTATGAAGCAGTACTGCATTAGCAATAACATGCGTAAAACTACTGAGATTTACAAGAGTATGCACGCTCGAGGAGTGATGCCAGACAGTAACACCTATAATATTTTGATTAAAGGGCATTGTAAGGCTAGAAACATGAAAGAGGCAGGGTACCTGCATAAAGAAATGGTTGAAAAAGGATTTAGTGTTACAGCCGCTTCCTATAATGCTCTTATAAGAGGTTTCTATAAGAGAAAGAAATTTCTGGAAGCTAGGAAGCTATTTGAGGAGATGAGAACACATGGCTTGGTTGCTGAGAAAGATTTATATGATATTTTTGTCGATGTGAACTATAAAGAAGGGAATTGGGAAATCACTCTTGAGCTTTGTGATGAAGCAATTGAGAAATGTCTTGTTAAGGAAACTTAGTTGACTTTTGTCTGCAGTTTATGACAGAATTATCAGGGACAGTATTTTCTTTCTTGCTGGATCACTTGAAAGATAATTCAACATCACAACCTATCAAGCACAGATACCAGACAAGACACTAAAATTGGCACGCCAATACAAATAATTATTTGAGCAAATGAAATACATATTGGTGTCATGTTGTTTTCAGACACTGAGACATGGCAAACACGCTTTCAATTTGAAATGTCGGTGCTACATAGACCGGACCGGACCACCAATTTTTGTCATCATAGTGTGACACTTGACTTCCAGGTTTTTGCAAAACACTGGAATAGATTTTTCACAAAGTGTAACATCATCAAATTCAAAAGGACAGTTCAAGATTTGTTCAGGTTGAGGCATTGACACAGCTATGTGAAGTGCTTTCTATTGCTTCTGAAGATTCTCTCGGTTCATTCTCTGTTGATTCCTTTGTTCCTGTGCTTGTTGGGTTGCTTAACCACGAGAGCAATCCTGATGTCATGCTTCTAGCTGCCAGGGCGTTAACTCATCTCTGCGATGTGCTTCCTTCGTCTTGTACTGCTGTTCTGCATTATGGTGCAGTGCCAATCTTCTGTGCCAGATTGCTTACCATAGAGTATATGGACTTGGCCGAGCAGGTTGTTCTATGTTGAATTCTTTTTAGAAATTTTTAATAAATGTAACATTATTTGTGTTGGTTTCTGTTGTCAAAGAGTATGCTTATGTTTTGCTAGTAAATAAGTTTGTTAATGATTAATCTTCCTTGAAACTTAATTACTTGGTCGACCTTACGGTTTCTCTGCTTGCTTGGTCTTGTATTCTAATCCATATGATTATTGATATTAACAGTCTCTTCAAGCGTTAAAGAAGATTTCTCAGGAGCACCCGACTGCTTGTCTTCGAGCTGGTGCTCTGATGGCCGTACTTTCTTATTTGGACTTCTTCTCTACTGGAGTTCAGGTAGCTCATCAATGAGATCCCTATATCTAGAGGATGGTTATAATTTTCAACTGCCACAATCCATTTTGCACTTACTAACTTTATTCAGTAAACCTATACTGACATAATTATGTGCTTCAGAGGGTGGCATTGTCGACTGCTGCTAATATGTGCAAGAAGCTTCCTTCTGATGCAGCTGACTTTGTGATGGAAGCTGTTCCCCTTTTGACAAACCTTCTTCAGTATCATGATGCCAAGGTAAGGTCAATTTTGTTGACATGCTTGTCATAAATGGACACTAAATATCCTTGACACTTCTTTGTTTCTAAGGAAATTTAGTTTGTGAGACCGTGATTGATTAAAATGATGTTGTCAGTCATCTAATCTTGTGTTCACATTAAGATGACATGGTAGAGGGAAAATTTATAACAGAAAAGGATAGTTGATGTAGGATATTTCCCCTATAATATTTGTTATAGTTCGAAGATAGCGTATGTATTTACTTTGAGTGACTAGAAGTGATTGTGACCCATCCAAGAGACATGAGCTCAATCCTAGTAATGAGATAGAGATTTCTATTTATAACTAGCTCTCTCCACTTTATTTTCTTATATTTTTGTGGAACTTAAATTTTTTAATAATTCAGGGACATTTTCTTCACAAAGTCGACAACCATAAAACAAAAAAGTGTTTCCTTCTAATATTTTTTTTTTGCCTAAAACAAGCACCTCACTAATTAATATATATTTTTACATCAACCACAAGATTCTAACATTCTTTAACTCTTCCTCAAACTGATTCTTGTAAAGAAATTAGAGGCAATAAAAATCACTAATCTGTGTGTTAAAGAACTAGTGCTAAATCATATAATCTATACAATAACGGTCTGACCCCGGTCAAACCTTTAAACCTTAAACCCTTTCTATACTGGTTCAATGTTAGGTCCGGTTTTGATTACCCTGGTAATAACAATAATAACAACCTAAACTAGGACAAAGGCAACAATAGTTAGCTTGAGTAAAAAGAAAGAGAACACATCTGCTTATGAAAACCAAATTGTAACAAAGTTGAGTTGAGCCAAGATGCTCAAAGCAATCCTATAGTGCCTGATTTAGACAATAGCTGTCAGACAATAGCTGTCGTCCTTATTACGCTTGCAGACAAGTGAATTATCAATGTCTTTAGATTTAGGAGGCCGAGTTATATAAACCTCTTGTTACTTGTGGAATCCCTTGGCTACTAAGTAAGCTTTGTATTTACTAATTATGCCACTAGTGGTTTCCTTAACTCCAAAGGTCCACTAACATCCAATCAAATTTCCATGTGGAAGAAGAGGGGCAAGTGAGGATAGGAACACGGAGTTATTAATATACTCAACTGATATTAGGATCAAGTGTTGAACAAAAATACATCAAAATCAAGGAATGAATAGACTCACTCTAGCCGTTTCCTATGATGATTTGGTTAGGACATTCTAAAAGTGTAAGTGGATGAATGTGTTTTCTAGGATGATTTGGTCACGACCTTCTAAAGGTGTAGGTTGATGAATGTTTTTCATAGAATTTGGAATATATCCAACTCAATCCAAATATTAGCTCAAGAGTCTTTGATTGCTCAAGGCTTACAAAGACACTTCTTTAACCATATCTCTAGTTGATGTAGGATCTCAATTTCTCAACACCCCCTCGTGCACGCTACTGGACCAAGGTAGTTAAAATTTATATTTATGCAAAAATGGAAAGAGGAAGTTAAATCGTAAATTGTGGAATTGTTTCACTAATCGTAAGATTATGTAAGACAAAGGAAACCTTAAATCACTTGAAAATTTTAATTCATAAGCATAACTCACAAGTAAGATAATTAAACCTTTAAATCACATTTGAAATACTTATATAAATTTAAACCCATTCTTAAGTATAATTGTGGAAACGTTTCAAAGATCGTAGATTATACGATTTAGTGGTTAGTAGGGGAGATTCCACCTGATTACATCAAAATAGGAGTCTGCTGTATACTCTTAGTTGCGGAGGGCAAGTATAAACATTAAATCTTGGGATTTTACGATTCAAATTGTGATTATAACTACCATGCACTGGATATCTTGAGCATTGAAAAAATCAAATGGGCTGGTAACATAACTATGATATGCCTTGATACTACCTCTGAATTGATTTGGCACTAGCTCAACTGTAGAAGGTTGCACAACAGGTGAGGATTACTCAAGCCTTATAAAGACTACTTTGGTCATATCTTTAGTCACTGGGGTTTCAATTTCTCACTTCAAATACTTATATAAATTTAGACCTATTCATAAGTGTCGAAACCATCCGTACATATTAATTAGCTGTATATTTTGTATTCAAATAGAATTAAAATTCCACAAATAGGAGACTTGATTAGCTGAATAGTTTGTATTTTTATGAATCATTGACCCTTAATTATAGCATTAACTGTGGGGAATAATGAATATTCATTAGGAATTTCCTTTTCTAATCACATTGCATTCTATTTAAGAGCACCAACTTCTTTATCACTAAATCAAAAAATTATCTTTGCCATGGTATCAGCGCTCCAAAATCCATAGGAGTCTGTTAAAATTGTGGCCTGCATTGCCATTTTTTTCATTGTGTGACCTTCGCCGATTTTTTTACGACCTATATTGCTGTTCCCTTTCTAAAAAGCTTCACACCCAACAATACTTGGAATTTCGAACTAGCTAATACCCACAAATACTGGCTCTGTTGAGAAATGCATACAGTGGAAAAAAAATCTCAAATAATAATTAAATGCCATTTCATAACTGCAATAATGTTTTTTTTAGAACAAAGCAAGTGTGAAACAACATCTACGATGTGGATTTCAACCAAGTTATTTGAAAAGGTAGTTTTATGGAAAAAAAATCAGACGATTCATCGTCTATCGTCTGGTGATGACAGAGATTTAGAGATTTTAAAGAGGAAGGGAATGACTTTTATAGATGCTTAACAAAATCTCAGTTATTTTTTATTATACATAATTTTTCATATAAAATGTCTTTATGGAGAGTAATATGTCATTTGACTCACTATTAAAGCTACTTAATGAAGCGTTGCTCGAAGGTAGTATGCTTTCCAATCCAATGTACTAGATTCAAAAGATTATTAAGTTTTATAGACTTCTTATGTTATGATATATGCATATTTTAATAATTGTATTTTATATCGATGAGAATATGAAAACCTTAGAGAATGTTCTATATGTGATCAATGTAAGCAAAAAAATACACCTTCAATCAATGAGATAGTTTGTTACTTTCCTACAAAAGCAAGACTACAAATATTCTTTATATCAGAAAAAAATTACAAAAGACATGACATACAAATAAATACAAATAAAATAATGGACGATGAAACTTTGATGAGTACCAATTACAAAATTGTTAGGAAACTTTGATAACTGACTTGATTTATTGAATAATAGAAAAGCTAATATATAGCTGATTACACAAACTGACTATCCTAAAACTTAGCTAGAAAATAGAAACTAATAAAGACTAAATCAAAATGTATCCAAGTGCTGTGCTAACAGCCCTATAAAGTAGGATATTTATTCTAACAAACTAACCAAGTCATAATTAACCCTATCATTTCCTCCCTTAAACTAGACAGTATACTAGTTTAACTTAGGTGCATCACATACTCCAAGTTTCTTCCTAAGATGCTGAAATGTCTTCAACTTGAGAGGCTTAGTGAAAATGTCTGCTATCTGTTGTTCAGTGCCACAAAATTTCAGTTGTACAGCTCCTTCAATCACCATATCACGCAGGAAGTGGAACCTTACATCAATGTGTTTACTCTTTCCGTGCATCACAGGGATTTTGGATAGCTTAATTGTTGAACTATTGTCGCAAAATATAACGGGACTGCTACTGCCATTATAGCCAAGCTTCTTCAACACTCTTTTCATCCATATCATTTGACATGTGCAAGCTGCAGCAGCTACAAATTCTGCTTCTGTGGTGCTCAGTGCGACAATAGGTTGTTTCCTTGAAGACCATGCTACAGCTGCATTGCTCAGAA